AGGGGGGGGTAGGGGGGCAACTTCACCGCAATGGCGGATATCGAGTTTGGTAAGGGGTTCAGGAATAAAAATTGACCCTCGAAATCGAAGCACGCTTTATAAGGATCTTTAAGAGTATGTGTTCTCTTTCAGGTTTCAGCTCGTGCCAACGCTGTTTTTTTTTTCAACTTAGCTCCCCATATTTATGTGATGCGACTTTCCATTGAGACTTTTCAAGAATCCCATGAAACGGTGACTTTATGGCTTTTGTGCTTTTTAATGACTTTTTGATGGACCTCTAGTAGAAAGTGACTAACTTTTATTTAACTAAAAGATATTTAAATGTTTTTAAATCAATATCTTTCATTTGTATGTTAAATTGTTAAGTTTATTAAACGCATTTGGACTTCAGCCTCAAAATAAATAAATACACATTTTTATTATCATTGGTATAATTGACAAGAAGCTCCTTGCTATTGCCATAGCTAAATAGAGGCACCGCAGGTATCGAGGAGTCATTTATGTAATAGCATATTTCAAAATAATAACAATAATAATTTGTGGAAGTCAAAACTAATTGCCATGTAAAAAGTTATGTGTCTGCAGTTTCATTTAAAAAACAAAAGGGAAAATGACCATTTAGATTTATTTATTGCTACAAATTTACTGAATTCTCACACACAAGAAATAGTACGTAATTCATAGTGCAAGAGATACGCCAACTGTAGAACGGTATCAAGATAAATATCTATATTCCATATCAAATGACATTAAAGTACAACACAATCACCATAACAAAGATGCTGTTTATAACGAAAGACCGAAAATCAAACCACCTACAACAGGGTCTGTCACTATGACAACTCCACCACAATGGCAGATCCAGAGTTTGGCATGGGGTTTGGGAATAGAAATTGACTCGCTTCTCTATAGGCAAATTTCAAAACGGCAGTCAATTCTGCTCTTTGTCTAGTTGCGCTCGTTATACTGTCTTTTTCAGGAGGGAAAGGGGGGGGAAGGGGGGGGGGGCTCAGAGGCTGAAGGAAGGGCATTTGCTTACTGTACCCCGGATCCGCCACTACACTACATGCATATTCACCAGTATTTTGTGCTTTCTTTTGCCTAACAATTGCGGCAAGATGAACAGTACTTTTTTCTTCATAGTAAAAAAGAATATAAAAGGATAACATTTATAGCCAGATACCAGCAAATATGTGAAGTAAATTTCACTGACATAATTTCTAATTTTTCAATTGAAGAAAAGGACTAAGAATTGGCCAGATACCAGCCAAGGTTCTATCAAATAATTCACATTAATACATAAATGCATGCTTTTTAAAAAATGAACTCTTGCAAATTAGCAAGGTTATTACCTCACCTGTAACAAACAAAATTGAAATGATACATATTATAAAGATTATCACAAGACTAATAAATCTCAGTTATCAAAGGTAATTCCCAAACGATACACAGTATCTGCTGGATGGTTGTAGTGTATGCACATAATTCAAAAAAAAAAAAAATCCCATAGCTGATATAATGTTTTAATGTTTGTCCACAAATCTGCTTATGTCTGAAATTGAGGAATACCATGGAAACCACTTTGTGCCAACTTCTATTTTAAAAAAATAATAGTCAAATATCTGAATTCTGAATGCTCAAATCTATGACTTCCTACCAACTCTCACTGCCCTATGGGGAAGCAATATTTCGCCAGATACCAGCAGAAATATCTTCACAAAATTACCCAGATTCCAGGTTACATTAAAAATAACAAATGGATTTCAAATGTTGAATACAGCGCCATCTATAGTCTTGAATCCTGGCTTACACTGCCTACCTCAATATCAGCCTCCAGCACATTATTGGGCCAAAGTTGCAAAAGTTAGTGTAAATTTCAAAACAACGAACAAGATTCCTAGTAATTTCATTGGATCGTTTGTACCATACAGCTACTGTGTCCGCTGGATGGTCTTTGGAAACTGCATAAAACACCCTTAGCACAATTTTGCAACAAACTTTACAGTTTGCAAGAATGTTTGCCATTCATTGTAAGAAGAATGACAGTTACAGCAAATTTGCTGCAAATTTGCAAGAAGATTAAAAGTTTGCAGGAAGTTAGTAAGAAAGTCTTTTTGCCTCAATTGCATGGTAAAATTCCTTCTTGCAAATTTGCTGCAAACTTAAAAGTTTGCTCAGGGCAGTTTTCAAGCAAAGTACTCCATAGATCTCAACAACATGAAATTTTCTTCAAAGTATAAAAAACAAGTTTGTGAGTAATCAAATTACCTCACCAGATGGCAATGACCTATTTAATGTTTTGAGATAAGAGTCTTACGCACAGTTGACTCACCTCTCAGCACACATAGATAAAATTGTGCACCTTAAACTGAACAGGTTCAATGTAGGGGAAACCTTTAAGGAACAACTTTTAGTTCAATGGAGAGAGGAAAGGAAACAGTGAAAACTTTTTAACCACTTCACTATTCATGCAAGCATGGATATACACAGGATGTTGAAGTAAGATGTTCTTCACAACTGAATGTACTAAATGTCTGTGACGAAAAACTATAATAAATAATAGAAAAATGTGACTAACAATATACCACCAAATGCTACCACATACAAGATGTTGAAAGACTTGATGTTTTACAAATAAACAATATCATTTAGCAAGGTTACATGGTAATCATATGCTTCAATTATGTAGTACAATTAAAAATCTTCTACCTCATCTCTGATGAGATTCAACTGAAATCATATTCTAAGGCCGCATTCACAGCAAAATTTGATCTGCTGATCCAATATGGCTGACACACTTGAAAGGTTTCCGCATATTCCCTGCTGGGAATCTATTCAAATTGAATGTCTATTAGGGAATTATGCAGCAGGATTTCAAGTGGGTTGGCCGTATTAGATTTGCAGATCAATTTCTTCTGAATGCGTCTTATATATATACATATTTTTATAATGACTCAGAGAGGAATAATTAAACTTAAAAAAAAAAAAACATATTCTCTACCATAACCTAATGTATTTAAAGAATAGTGTTTAAAAAAATCACTCACAGAAAATTTGTAATTATGGAATGAAACGGCAAATAAAAGGGGAGCAAAATAAGGAAAAAAAGAAAGAAATATTATTACATTTTAATATAATTAAGGATATCAAACAAGGATGAAAATAATGATAATTCATTCACCAAACATTAGACTCTCATTCAAAGAGCAACCACCAAAATGTGATGGAAATATCTGTGGGCTACAATCAAAGCATTGGTTGGTTAAAATTTGTATTACATTTCCAAAGCCTGTTTGGCTTCTGGGTAATTCCACATCAAATCAAACAGCCACAAGAATATATCTTAGACTATTTTTTCATTAACCACCTACCTCATAATTAACAACCAATGAGTAGAATGTATATGATTTCACTTTGAAATGCAATATCTCAAACTTAATGTGAGATATCTCACTGATTTTTTCCATACATATTGAACATTGTAGATGATAAAAAATCAGTATAATCTGAAACATGCTGTTCTGAATCAATGTTTACTGTGCTGACTTAACAAGGAAATTACACCTGAAACAGTTGTTAAAAATTCTGCCTATAGCACGTACTGTACAGGCATCACCTTCCTGGCAGTCCAGTTAATCAGTGCACAAAATTTAAGTGTCTCTGGCTGATTCTGCTGCTTGTATAATCTGGGCATCAATCTTCTGAAGCTCAAGTTTTAGCTGCTCTCTCTCAGCCTCATTTGCAGCTACTCCTCTGGAACTCCTCTGGAGCCTGGAGAAAGAAAAATTAAAATTTTCTTGAAAAATACAAGATTTACCTTAATTTATAAATATTTCATTAGAGGCGTTTTTCATGCAGGGGAAGAGCAATTAAAACTCTACACGCTTTCAACTGCTTGTAAACGGGGCCCAACTAACAGTCATGAGCCTAAGGTTAAAAAAAAACTGAACATATATCATGGGACCCAACACCTACTAACCTTGACAAGTCTCAGGAACCATCAAAATTTAATTTAAAAAAAAGCCGAATACCACTTTTCCGCGGAAAAAGCTCTTGTCTGAACAGATAAACATCACCCATTACACACAGTAACTGTGAGAAGAATAATCAAATCATGGGTCATAAAATCACAAAAGACCCACTTTCAGATTAGCTGGTACTCTTACCTCTCGCTGTTCTTCATCACAGTACCACTTGCTGAGGTGTTCGTCTTGGCCTGTTCTACCTCTGCCAGACCAAAAGGGTTAGGAGGGTAACGTGAGGGCACTGCGTAGGAATTGGGGAATGGCCGCTCTACTGGGGTCACAGCAGTAGATGGCAGGGGGTTCCCTCCCTGAGAACAAAACACACCAAATGTACACATAATAGAAGGAAAATAAACAGTGAATAAGTGCACAAATTTAAATCTCTTGAATCCTTTGAATGTAGCAAAACAGTATCTGGCAGATGTTGCTTTTCTCAGAATAAGAACTTGAGCAGATATGAAAACAGATAAAACTGGAGGGTGTGAGGTGTTGCTGTCTCCTAAGTACATACCTTGGTAGGATAACACACAGTTTTAGCCCAAGAGTTATAAAGAGTTGTCAGTTTAAGCATATAATGGTTGACAAACCTATAAATGTGTGTACGCACTGACCACCCGTGAAAAAAATCATATTAAATACATCATGGAGACAGAAAGGTGAACAAACAAACAAACAGACAGACATACCTGTGAGGCTGTCACCTGCACTGGCTTAGCAACCTGGAGGTTGGTTTCATTGCGCTGCACACGAGAAATGGGACCAAACCTGGACACAATGGGCTTGTCAGAAAAGGGAATGATTTCCTCTGGCAAAGTCCTGCATACAATTGAAGATCTAGGCTTGTGAGTCATAGGTATTATTATTTTAAGCTTTAGTTCATTGGAAAAAATGAAAAGATTTATTTTTCCTTAGATCACAATGGATAAGATTCTATTATTAACAAACCCCTAAGAAGTCAGAATTGCACAAAATTTGTTTCAATTGTGAATCCAAGCTCATGTAAGCTTTTTTCTCAACTTTTTGGTTATTATAATTACCAATTTTAACACCCATTTAATATTGGGTTGCCTTTGAAGTTTCAAAAACATTTTACCATAAAATATTTAGTTGTTTTTCAGTGAAAATCGGGTTTAGAATTAAAGAACCAGAGCAAAAAAGAAAAGATAAAAACGGGAGTACTTACGAGGAAAGTGAGTTGTATGTCCAAACCGTGGTATCTTTTCCACCATCTAGGCTACTATATATGGTCGTGAAGAGATTCCTGCTTATCAGATGCTGAAAATCAGAAATATCCTTACTAACCCATTCATCATCATCACCATCATCATCATGGTCACCATGGTGATCAGTGTCAAAATCATCAGCGGCTTCATAGCTCAATGAAGATAATGGCGCATTTGTCTCTGAGTAAGCATCCAAGAAAGCACCAGCACGTTCTTTATGCTATGAACGAGATGAAAGAACAGGAGAAAACCTGATCAATGGCAGAAAGAAAAGAGTGACAGAGGAGACAACATGCTGAAACTTTGAAAAGGAGTAAAATGTTTTGAACTATTTTCAAAGTTTTAGAAAACAGAAATGTTTCAATTTTTGCCACCTTGATGATTTACAGTGAAATTTTTATGAACCTCTTTTGGTTTTTCCAAACTCTGACAGAGAAAAAAATGTATATGATTTTTCATACAAAGGTGGTGCTATAAATTTTATAAACAAGCTTAAGAAATGGAAGGTTATCTTGCTTCTGCAGTTAAAAGAGGTTAACACGTTCTTCTTGACAAACCTGTTCAAAAATTATGTAAGGCACTACACACAAACAATAAATATAAGCACATTTTTCAATGTGAAAAATATTACAGTACAAATCTACCCCTTATAATGACTGCAAAAATATGAATAAGTGCTCACAACATCCAGACAGAATGTACAACACACAGCAAACCAAAAAACACCTGTTGATCTAGTATAGGACATTGTATATTATGTGACATAAAAAAAAAACAAACTTGTTCACTATTTCCTTAATGTTAATACTCCAAGCACACGATTCTGCCACAGTGTGATGTACTAAGTCGCGTGGTCGGAGTTAAAGGTCAGGGGTCGTGAAGAGGATGCTATGTATGCGACGTGGCATGTGAGACATGGACTTTAACTGTATAAATTAACATTTTATGTCTTATACATGTACAGTTTTCCAATATCATACATATGAACTAGCAGAATTTTCAGATATCAAAGCCTGGGGTCAAACACAAAGATTCTCCTTCTTGTCAATGGCCAGGAATTTGATGTCAGATATTGAGGGTGGTGTTCCTCAAGAAGCCCTATTGCGTCCATTATTATTCATTATCATGATCAATGACCCTAACGCTAGTTGTCCAGGCTACAAGTTTCTGGATGATACAACTGTTCTTACAGTGTATGACTTTGATTAAAAGTAACATCTAACAGGCAGCAAATGAAATCATTGACTGGACAGAAGAAGAAATATGAGACTCAATCCAACAACAACAAAATCTATGACAGTAACTTTACCCAAATGCAATCTATGCCAAAATTTCAATCAGCTGATATTAGAAGGACTTATGTACCAAATTTCAGAATTGATCATTTTAGAAACACCTTCATCCTTTTTCTTTATCTAGCTTTTAGAAGCCTGTGTTTTTCTTTAGAACTCAATTTGATCTTGATATTGTAATAATACTCATAATAATCATTATTATTATCATTATTAAATTAAAGAAGCCAAGTTCACAACAATAAAAAATACCTCATTTACATATTGATAACAGTCTTCTGACATATACTGCACAATTTATGTACAAGACCTACTGTCTGAAACATAAGGTCTTTTTATATATCTCAATACCACAAATGTCTAATTATCTTGTAAAAATTTACATTAATAATTCTTTGAAAACGGATGGAACAACAGAAACTATCTAAACAGGGGTATATTTTGACAATTTTCTGGGAAATCCAGATAAGTGTCAACATTTTGTTGTATTAATTTTGTAATTAACATAAACATTTATTGGCATTTAAAATTCTTTGTACAGGAGTTATTATGGAAAGCTAATGATGGGATCCATCCCTGTCAGCTGATTTAAAAAAAGTTTTAAAAAAGTGACACAATTTCTATTTGTTCTACTTACTCCACTTTTTCTATTTAAAAACAAATGTCTTTTTAACCATATAACCACACTGCTTTTTTAAATCTAAACTGCTCTTAGTAAAAAAATGTAGTTTTTCTTTTAAATGTTTTTCATTTCCTGTGCAGGGGGGATATTCACAGCTAACTGTCAAAGAAGCTTACCCTTTCCTGAATTGCCGCTTCACTGTCTATGGTGGATCCATTACGAGAATCACTGTATGTTGCCTCTCCGGTGGACCAAGGCATGTCTTCATTGAAGTGTTCTTTTGAACCTGTTTTCCAAATAAAACAAGTTGTCATACATTATGTTAATCAAATGCAGACAGTTGTTGGTAATTCCACATTATGTGACTAAGATATCCATTGAGTGCTTAAAATACAAAACTATACAAATCATTAATGTTGCATAACATTTCAACAAAATTATAAACTCAGTTTAAACATTTACATTTGAATAACATCTTTCATGTGCGAATAATTTCTAAGCTCATCCCTGCAAATCAAACTTGTGTACCAATAAATTGTTCAACAAAATTCATTATGGCCTGAGAAAGTGAAAATACTTCATTATTTTTACTTTTTATTATTAATTAATTAGTTGATTTATTAATTAATTAATTTTTTTCGTTCTTTTGCCATTGCACTTAATCATGTGAACTTTGCGTCAGCATATATCTTAATCTGCAATTAGGGTGCAATGAATCGAACCCTTTATCTTAAATGATCTGTAATTGCTGACAATAATATCCTTCATCACAAATATGTAACTCACTCCAAATAGTATCATTGTACGCCGTGGTAGTACTACTGGATATCAGAGCATCCACCACGGATTGCTGCTGCTGATAGGAGCTGGTTGTGGTCTTCATCTTCCTTTCCCCTACACTAGATGGCGCTGATGTGTTGGGCCTACTCTGTTTATTTCTTAGCTGATTCAGCAGTTCACTTCGGCGTCTCTCAAGCTGCTCTATGGATGCATTCTGACAGTGTTAAAATAAAAGCACTAAAGTTAGGAAACTCAGTCAGTGCATCACAAGAGCCTACTCACAATTACCAAATGACTTCTGAAGTAAGCTCCTACTTTCTGAGAGGAAATAATGCAATTAATTTTGATCAGTTTGTCATTAAAATGAGCCAATATTTTATACTACTATTTGTTCATATAACATCTATTTAAGATTTACTGTCATACAGCTCTCTACTCAGAAAATGATTAAGAACTTTTTGTCTCCTAATTTCATGCACGGTATGCATACCAAGTATACCAAGTATGCATACTAAGGAGTTCAAGAGTTAAATTCACAGCAAATTTGCACTTAATGAAATATCTACTGCTTGCACTGACCTCTTCCTGTGCAGTCTGTGGGTCAAGCACCTGTTCCTGGGGGTGAGCCCCACCCTGTGTACTGGGCGGGGCAGTCAAGTACTTCGGATACTCTCTCCCTAAACCTTGATCATACCCATATATGGGCTGCTGTACAAGTTGATAGTGCGTCTCAACCGCATATTCAGCACCAGGAGGGTACCCAGCCATCATTCCCTGCTGGACCCCAGGGTAGGCAGGCAATCCCTGGGGGGTGGAGACATACTCAGGGGGTGGTGGAACCCTCTGGGCATTGTACCGGACCACTCCTGGCTGAACTTGGGGATAGGCCGGCATTTGTTGAGGGGGCTGCTGGGGGTAGGGTGACACCCCTGGGGCGTACCTCACTGTCCCCCCTGGGGTCCTGGGGATGGCTTGAGGGTGATATGGGGGATAAGTGACCCAGGGCTCATAGTGTGGTCTCTGTGCTGTAGGTACAGGAGGACAGGTAGGGGGCTCTGAAGGCGGCGTGGGACTATGAAGAGCTAGAGGAAAATGTAGGAGTGCATGTCAGAAATAGCCTTTAGAAAGTTTACTATGTTATACAAAAAATAAGGCATATTTTAGTTCTCAAAGTTAAGATTGAATCTTTTTTTTTTTTTTTTTTTGCTGAAAACTGAAAAGGATTTAGGGATTTATGTTCATATACTATTACTTAGTAAGAAACTGACTCTAAGTATAACAGCAAATTTAATCTATTCATAATACTGTTTTTCATTATGCTGCTCTTTTTCCTTTTTCTTCCTTCCAGCAAAACACTTTACTGCTTATTTGGTACTTCCTTTAAGATATATAAAAAAATATGGTATTGAACATTTTAAGCTTATACTGAATATTTGGAAACAAACTGTTGCATCATAGGAGTCACCCAAATACCTAAAAATTGGAGGGCTCCATTGCTTCATTATATTTTTAAATGTGACGACAGGGTCATGAATGAAATTAAAATTTGTGACGTTTTCTTACCAAGTCCTTCCACAGTTGGCACTTCATACGAGGACATCCTTGGGCGGCCTATGGATTTATGCACCAGGTCGTGTGGATGCGGCATGGTGTAAGACATGGGCTTCACAACCTGGGACATTGGCATGGAGGAGGGGAGAACCACGGGGGGAGAGGCTTGGCTCACTGGGGACAGGCTCATCTTGGAGGTGGGCACAGGTACTGCTCGCGAAATCTGGTGGTTTGACCTGAACATGACCAAACACTGGCAGAATTAAAATCAACCTTTCTCTGTGGGTTTTCTGTTTAATAAAGCCTACCAAATACAGCAAATATGATCCATCTAACCTAGTACCCAAGAAATATAGTTACTTAAGAACCAAGCACAATATATAACTCTTACAACAAAAATGTTTACAATATACTCTGTTTTCTAAATACATTCAAAATATTTCACCAATAAAGGGTAGTGATTTTTTAATAATTAACATTAATGATTATTTCAGAAAGTTATTAAAGGACACATTGCATACTGGGGGTGCGTTTGCTTCTCCTCTGGTTGTTGGCTTGTCTTGCTGGCAGCAGTATTCTCCCTGGTGGCCAATTTGAATCTGGATTCCTTTGTTACCATGGCAAGGTCAGCCTGATCCCTGGGGGTCAAACTGGACGAGCTGGACACCTTACCTGTCCATCTCTTATTCCTATTTCTGTGCCTACGAGTAAAACATTTTAAATTTCTAAACACAACTAAAAGCAACACAAACTAAAACAATATAGTTTCACCACTATTCTCTAGACTAAATAAAATTTAACATGTCACAGCGAAGTTTTTCCACTTCACCACTGAAAATGCCAAGAAAACAACTAAGAGATTTTAAAGATATCCTTGCACCTTGTCTAGGCAGCTGAAGTGAACTGGACGGAAGGCAAGAGGTGACAATAATTCATAAAACAAAAAAAAAAGAGAGACAAATATTCTGTTATAAGTAAGAATGACTTTCAATGACCTTTCCATCTCTTCCTCTGAGTGAGCAAAAGTACAGGTAGCTCCTCTGGGGCAAGAGCCCATCTGTACCAGGTCCCGGCACATGCTGGTCTTGTACTTCAGGTTGTGGACTGTACCAGCCTCGTATTTCTTGTGGCTGTGGTTCCGGGTGAACTCCACCAGGCCATCGACTACCGTCTTCACTGCCTTCAACACAGCTTCCAGGTTCTCCCAGGATGGGGGAGGGGCATCTGCAATGAAAATGGGAGGGGTCTCTGATGACAGACTGTCAAAGAAGAGGATTCTCTCCAAGGATGGGGGAGGGGCATCTGCAATTAAAAACGGGAGGGGTCTCTGATGACTGTCAAAGAGGAGGATTTTCTCCAAGGATGGGGGAGGGGTATTTGCAATGCAAATGGGAGGGGTCTCTGATGACAGACGGTCAAAGTGGAAAACTCCCAGAATGGGGTAGGGGCGTTTACAATGAACAAGGCAGCAAAGCTGTCAAATGTACAGACAAAAAGCAGGAAATAACTATGCACAAAATAGGCTACTGTCAACTCTGATGCAAAAGTACATTATGTTTAACTGTAAATTCAACATCAAATTTTAATTATGCTCAACAGGTAATACCAATGTAAGTAAAATGTGTAACAAGCATAAGGCTTCAGGCCCATGAGAGTTCATGTTCACACTTTGAAAATGTATAACTTCCAGAAAAAGAAGCCAATTAGACTGCTTTTCCAACTCGGGCTGCATGCCGATTTTTGGACTTGACCTCCGTTTTAGTAAGATCGCTTACTCCAAAGAGTTTCACAACAACAGGCCTATAGGTNCTGTCATACATCTCTCTACTCAGAAAATGATTAAGAACTTTTTGTCTCCTAATTTTATGCACGGTATGCATACCAAGTATACCAAGTATGCATACCAAGTATACCAAGTATGCATACCAAGTATACCAAGTATGCATACCAAGTATACCAAGTATGCATACCAAGTATACCAAGTATGCATACTAAGGAGTTCAAGAGTTAAATTCACAGCAAATTTGCACTTAATGAAATATCTACTGCTTGCACTGACCTCTTCCTGTGCAGTCTGTGGGTCAAGCACCTGTTCCTGGGGGTGAGCCCCACCCTGTGTACTGGGCGGGGCAGTCAAGTACTTGGGATACTCTCTCCCTAAACCTTGATCATACCCATATATGGGCTGCTGTACAAGTTGATAGGGCGTCTCAACAGCATATTCAGCACCAGGGGGGTACCCAGCCATCATTCCCTGGTGGACCCCAGGGTAGGCAGGCAATCCCTGGGGGGTGGAGACATACTCAGGGGGTGGTGGAACCCTCTGGGCATTGTACCGGACCACTCCTGGCTGAACTTGAGGATAGGCTGGCATTTGTTGAGGGGGCTGTTGGGGGTAGGGTGACACCCCTGGGGCATACCTCACTGTCCCCCCAGGGGTCCTGGGGATGGCTTGAGGGTGATATGGGGGATAAGTGACCCAGGACTCGTAGTGTGGTCTCTGTGCTGTAGGTACAGGAGGACAGGTAGGGGGCTCTGCAGGCGGCGTGGGACTATGAAGAGCTAGAGAAAAATGTAGGAGTACATGTCAGAAATAGCCTTTAGAAAGTTTACTATGTTATACACAAAAGGCATATTTTAGTTCTCAAAGTTAAGACTGAATTTTTTTTTTGCATTTTTGCTGAAAACTAAAAAGGATTTAGGGATTTATGTTCATATACTATTACTAAGTAAGAAACTGACTATAATAGAATAGAATAGAAACTAAGTATAATAGCAAATTAAATCTATTCATAATACTGTTTTTCATTATGCTGCTCTTTTTCCTTTTTCTTCCTTCAATTGTCCTCCTCTGCTTATTTGATACTTCCTTTAAGATACATAAAAAATATGGTACTGAACATTTTAAGCTTATACTGAATATTTGGAAACAAACTGTTGCATCATAGGAGTCACCCAAATACCTAATAATTGCTTCATTGTATTTTTAAATGTTATGACAGGTCATGAATGAAATTAAAATTTGTTACATTTTCTTACCAAGTCCTTCCACAGTTGGCACTTCATACGAGGACATCCTTGGGCGGCCTATGGATTTATGCACCAGGTCGTGTGGATGTGGCATGGTGTAAGACATGGGCTTCACAACCTGGGACATTGGCATGGATGAGGGGAGAACCACGGGGGGAGAGGCTTGGCTCACTGGGGACAGGCTCATCTTGGAGGTGGGCACAGGTACTGCTCGCGACATCTGGTGGTTTGACCTGAACATGATCAAATACTGGCAGAATTAAAATCAACCTTTCTCTGTGGGTTGTCTGATTAATAAAGCCTACCAAATACAGCAAATATGATCCATCTAACCTAGTGCCCAAGAAATATAGTTACTTAAGACCCTAGCACAATATATAACTCTTACACCAAAAATGTTTATAATATACTCTGTTTTCTAAATACATTCAAAATATTTCACCAATAAAGGGAAGTGATTTTTTAATAATTAACATTAATGATTATTTCAGAAAGTTATTAAAGGACACATTGCATACTGGGGGTGCGTTTGCTTCTCCTCAGGTTGTTGGCTTGTCTTGCTGGCAGCAGTATTCTCCCTGGTGGCCAATTTGAATCTGGATTCCTTTGTTACCATGGCAAGGTCAGCCTGATCCCTGGGGGTCAAACTGGAAGAGCTGGACACCTTACCTGTCCATCTCTTATTCCTATTTCTGTGCCTACAAGTAAAACATTTTAAATTTCTAAACTGAGAAACACAAACTAAAAGAATATAGTTTCACCACTTTTCTCTAGACTAAATAACATTTAATATAGCACATTCAGCGAAGTTTTTCCACTTCACCACTGAAAATGCCAAGAAAACAAGTAAGAGATTTAAAAGAGATCCTTGCACCTTGTCTAGGCAGTTGAAGTGGACTGGATGGACAAGAGGTGACAATAATTCATAAAACAAAAAAAAGTTGGAAACAATAAATATTCTGCTGTAAGTAAGAATGACTTTCACAGACCTTTCCATCTCTTCCTCTGAGTGAGCAAAAGTACAAGTAGCTCCTCTGGGGCAACTTCCCATCTGTACCAGGTCCCGGCACATGCTGGTCTTGTACTTCAGGTTGTGGACTGTGCCAGCCTCATATTTCTTGTGGCTGTGGTTCCGGGTGAACTCCACCAGACCATCGACCACTGTCTTCACTGCCTTCAGCACTGCTTCCAGATTCTCCCAGGATGGGGGAGGGGCATCTGCAATGAAAAAGGGGAGGGGTCTGTGATGACAGACAGTCAAAGAAGAGGATTCTCTCCAAGGATGGGGGAGGGGCATCTGCAATGAAAAACGGGAGGGGTCTCTGATGACTGTCAAAGAGGAGGATTTTCTCCAAGGACGGGGGAGGGGTATCTGCAATGCAAATGGGAGGGGTCTCTGATGACAGACTGTAAAAGAGGAGGGGCATGTGTACACTGAACCACAGAAGTGATGCCCTTAGTAAATGGATTTTTTTTATTTGTGAGACTATCCCTATGACACTGATGATTTACATTAGGGCTAGTACACAGTTATCCTTTCATCCCTGAAAGTAAATCCTTAGCCCTAAACTGAAGTATCAAACCACTTAACCTAGACAGAACCAAATCAGTGACTGTATATTTACTATTTACCTGGACTTGGATCAATACTGGTCATCAGGTCCAGTTGTGGCCTGAGTTTGGCAAGGTTGGCTGGATCCCCTGTCCTCTGCAGAGCTATCACCAACTCATTCACACTCTGGGCAAATGACTGGGGGGTCTGGAGCTGTAATAGGTATATATATATACAGGTATTCATGACATTCTAGAAACTTGTGGACAATAACCACAGTTTGGAGCTTTAGTTTAAAGAAACACACTCTTGTCAGGCCAATTTTTTCCTATTAAAGGACCTTATGCACACTTTACAGATTAACCAAAAATTCTGACAAATATCAAATTCAAGTATTTGGCCAGAACAAATATTAAGCTCATGTAATTGGAATGCTGCCACATATACATACACTGTCAAGGGAGAAGAACTGAAGATAATCTCTACCTTGTCAATAATAGATTGCATGTGTGACTTGTGTCCAGCGTCCCCATACAACAAAGATGACCACTGCTCTGGGGCGATACGCAGTCCAGCCTCGGTGGCTATCTGGACAATCTGGGAGTCGTGCTCGCGACGCAAGGCATCATAAGTGCGAAACTCTTCCTTCAGCTGCATTAGCGAGGACTCATCATCCCTTTTTGTGACCTGAAAATGAGTGAAGAAAATCAGAAATTTTGCAACCATTTACAATGCGCCAGCCTTGGAAAGTGCATTTAAACTTCGGACCATATCACTACATATATGGGGACTTACATCATTCAAAACTGCACCCACTAAAATTCAAAATAATCTTACAGATGTCATCAGGAACAATATAGTTTAACACAGGACAAAATCTAAACTTAAATAGAAAGAAAGGAAAAAAAACCCAGCAAATCCCTTCGAGAGCACCCCATGTAATTCACAGCCAAGTGATTGGGTTAGAATTTCTCTGGTTTGAGTGAGTTACCCTCAGCCTTGACTGGGGTAGCATGAGCAATTTTTTCACTTAGCCACATCACCACTTTTTTCTTTCAATCTGTTATCCAAATGGTTTTAATTTGTCTAAAATAAGTCAAATCAAGTCATTTTTATTTAGCCAATTTAAGTCAGTTTTAGCATTTGGCTAAATTGGCAAGGGTTAGCGCTACCCCAGCTTAAGATCCCTTCAGAAACATCATAACTAAAAGAAGTAAGTGTTATCAACTTACCTTGAAGCAAGAGGCCCTGTATAACAGCTGGACCACATGCCCAATGGCCGTCTTGGAGGCTTGAGGAAACTGAGTCTCCAATCTCTGAACAACAAACAGTACCAGCACCTTTCTGGAGAGGGCAGAGCCATTCTCTAAAGCCAGGAGGATGAGCTTCAGAACTTCTTCCTGCATGGCTGATATCAAAAAAAAATTTTCCTTTAACATGTAAATTTAATTTTTTTTCACTGGAATATTCAAATTTGTAGTAAATTCAACTGGTTAGTTATTGAAGGCACAAATATTTAGTAAAATTTTAGAATTATTACTTGGGTGGTCTCTTAATAAAACTGCACTGCTGAAAGATACTTCATTATGCGGCAAATGTGTCTTTCATCCTTCTTAAGGTCGGAATTGAAATATATAACCAACAATGGTAAAATGTAGGATGACATTTAGACATAAAAATACAAATCTGAAACATTTTAAAATGCATGTAATACACCTGAAATAATTTTCAACACATCATCAACAATAACTTTCATTCTTCATTATAACAAATAATTTTGTTTAAATGCGTAAACTTACCAGGTCCAAGAAACTGGCAGCCTCTGGCACGTACAGCAGCCCATAGATTGGCTGACAACTGCTGGGGATTCTGGTGCAGCAGAATGAGCTCTGTCACAGTACGGTCACCAAGAGAACGTGCAGCGCGTAATGCACGTGCACGTCCTTCTTCCTCCACCAGCTGGCAGTTGACGAGGATGACCAGTTTTCTCTGCATGGGTCTGCTCAGAGTTCCCAGGGGTGCTGGCAGAGAGGTGTTGTCTGAAGTATAATTATATCAATTCCTTAAAATATGATAACAGTAACATAAGATTACTGTTCCATTTCAGTGACTCTTTAATGTAACAGCTAGTTAAAGTGTTGTTAATCTCTGAAACTGGAGCAGTACAGAAAACAGAAGCTGCACAGAAAGCTATGTGAAAAAAAAAGAAAAAAATGTAAAAAAGGTCATCAGCATCCCCCTTACTTCCAGCCTTATTACTCTGTGTCCCTGTCACATGGTGAAGATACCCGGCCATGTCCTCTATACACTTCCTGGAGGTCTTGAAATGGGACACGTTGGGCCCAAGTCTGCTCAGTACGCCATCTTCATTCTCGTCCAGTTTGACCCCCAGTAGTTTAAGCAGGGCAGTGTTGCTGGGCAGACGATCCGCCGGCTGACTGACCAGGGACTGCTCAAAGGGGCACTTATTCTGATGCAGCTGCTTCAGGCATGTTCTACAGATAGTGTGGCCACATCCTGAAATGTATAAGACAGTGTTCAGAACAAATTGATCTGTGGACTAACAGATCTGTGGACTACGTATATATATGGCCGACTTGCTTAAAAGCAGTGCCGACTTATTACCTGTTGGCTCCCCGCCTCCACATGCGCTATGCTGCAGGGACCTAGCAATTAAACCTCGGAGCCGAGAATTAATTCGTTTAATGGCACATGTAGAGGCAGGGAGACCAGCAGTGAATTAGCAGCATCGCTTTTCAGCCATATTTAGCCAGCATATCAGGAAATCTGCAGATCATCTGTTTCGAATGCACTCCAAGACCGTGCTCTGCATTTAAGTACTTAAACGAATCACATGGATCTGTACAACAAAGTGGATTGATCTTTCATGGGAAGCAAACTTCTACATTAATACACTTACCTGACACACAGCGTTTCATATTAAATTTGAAAAACAATTTGCTGGTACAAAGAATATTCACTCTGACATTTTCCAAGGTGCATGTTGCCTGTCCCTATTAACATAGGTAGGCTGATAACTCTTGTGAAAAGAGCTCATAACTCGAGTATGGAATAATATGTATTAAAAGAGATTCATTTTACTAACTTCCTACTTATTCAGCTAAAAAAAGGTAAAGCTGAAGCTGACAACTTTAAAATCAAAACTAACAAAACTGTTTATGTCAGTAAAATACGCACATATTCATTGTTACATGGTACTTGTGTTATAAAAATAATCACTAGACATGACAACTTACCTAAACTAACCGGGATGTTATTCCTTCCATTAAAGTCATTAAAGCAGACAGGACAGGTAAGAAATTCTGTCCATTGCGGCGCTTGCACTGGCATACTCAATTATGCTCAAACATGAAAGAATTTTAATAATTTCCTACCAATTTGGTAGATATAGACTCTGGGATATTATTGGCTCTGCTTCACAGCCTGAAAGAACAAAACATTAAAAATAAAACAAATAATACTAGCAGGACAACAGCTCAAGGCAGGTGGTGATGTGCCTGTGAAAATCTGCTTGGCACACACACACACACACACACAAACACCCACACACACACA